CTTAGTGTATGCATTTAGTGCTATAAATGTCCCTCTCAGCACTGCATTAACTATATCTCATAAATTTTGACATGCTTTGTTTTTATTTTCATTCAAATCAATGATTTTTTTTTTCTTATTTCCCTTGAGACTTCCTCTTTGACCCATGGATTATTTAGAAGTATGTTGTTTAGTTTCCAAATGTTTAGAGATTTTCTATTATCTTTCTGTTACTGATTTCTAATGTGATTCCACTGTAACCAGAAATCACATTCTGCACAAGGTTTAACTCTTTTAAATTTGTTGAGGTTTATTTTATGGCCCAGGATATGGTCTACCATCATATATGTTCCATGATCACATATGGGCATTCTGTTGTTGTTCAGTAGAATCTAATTCTGTAAATGTCAATTAGATCTTCCTGATTAATGGTATTATTGAGTTCTTTTGTAATGTTGCTGGTTTTTCTCTCTATTATTCTATCCTTTTTTGAGAGAGGGATGTTGAAATCTCCAACTATAACTGCGGATTTGTTTCTCCTTTCCATTCTTTAATTCTTTCTGTTGTTGCTATTGTTGTTTGGTGCATACACATTTAGAATTTTTAGATCTTCTTGGTGGATTGATCTTTTAATCATCATATGATGCTTTTTCTGTCTCTGGTAAATGTCTTTGCTTTGACGTCTACTTTATTTGGTATTAATATGACCACTCCTGATCTCCACTGTTTGATGTTTGCTTGATGTATCTTTTTCCATACTGTTACTTTCTTTCTTTTTTTTTTAAGATTTTATTTATTTATTTGACAGAGACAGAGACCACAAGTAGGCAGAGAGGCAGACAGAGAGAGGGGGAAACAGGCCCCCCACCGAGCAGAGAGTCCGATGTGTGGCTTGATCCCAGGACCCTGAGATCATGACCTGAGCTGAAGGCAGAGGGCTTAACTCACTGAGCCACCCAGGCGCCCCTTTCTTTCTTTTTTTTAAGTTTATTTATTTATTTGAGAGGGAGGGAGAGAAAGTGTGTGCAAGTGGGGGGAGGGGCAGAGAGAGGGCAAGAGAGACTCTCAAGCAGATTCCCTGCTAAACACAGAGCCTGACACAGGGCCTAATCTCATGACCCTAAGATCATGACCTGACTCAAAATCAGGAGTTAGATGCTTAAGTGACTGAGCCACGCAGGTGCCCATCCAGCCTGTTACTTTCAACTTGTCTATATTATTTAACTTACTTATTTGAAGTGAGTTTCTTGTAGACAGCATACAGTTGGATCACATTTTTTAATCCAATCTGCAGGTTTTGTACTTTCATTGATGTATTTACAACATTTATATTTAATGTGATTATTGATGTGTTAGGGCTTAACTCTATCATTTTATTTTTTGTTTTCTGTTTGTTGCCACTGTTTTACATTTCTGTTTCCTTTTTCCTATTTTTCTATGGCCTGCTTAAACTTTTTTAAGATTTCCGTGTCTCTTTATCTACAGTGATTTCAAGTCTATCTGTAATAGCTTTTTTTTTTTAGTAGTTGCTCTAAGAATTACATTACAAATGCATAACTTACCAAAGTCTACTGATGACAGGATCCCTGGGTGGCTCAGTCAGTTAAGTGTCTGCCTTTGGCTCAGGTCATGATTCCACAGTTTTGGGATTGAGTCCAGCATCAGGGTCCTTCCTTGCTCGGTGAGGAGACTGCTTCTCCCTCTGCCTGCCTCTCCCCCTGCTTGTGCTCTCTCTCACCTCTCTGACAAATGAATAAAAATAAAATCTTTAAAAATAAATAAATAAACAAAGTCTACTGATGTCATCACTTTATCAATTCAAATGAAGTACAGAAAACTTACTTTCATGTCCCTTTATTCTCCTCTATTTATAACATAATTGTCTTAACTATTTCTTCTATATATATTTATAATTATATCAGTTTTTGCTTCTAACATCAAACATAATTTAAAAACCTAAAGAGGAGAAGGGAAGATTATTGTACTTACCCACACTGTTGCTCACTGTAGTCTTTCTTTGCTCTATATTTTGTTTCCTTCTGTTTAAAGAACTCCCCTTAGTTTTTTCCTATGGTCTGAATGTTTATGTCCCCACCAAATTCATATACTGAAGTCCCAATGCTCCTGTGATTATTAAGAGATGGAATCTTTGGAGGTGATTAAGTCTTGACAGTGGAGTCCTTGTGAAAGAGATAGTGCCTGTATAAAATTGGTCCAAGAGAGCTACCTGTCCCTTCCACCATGTGAGAACACAGCAAGAAACCATCAATGTGGAACCCAGAATGGGGCTTTCACCAGACCCTGAACCATGCTGGCACCTATATCTCAGACTACCAGCCTCCAGAACTATAAGAAAGAAATGTCTTTTGTTTAGAAGACACTGGTCTTTGGTGTTTTGTTATTGCTGCCCAAACCATTGTTTTAGAATAGGTCTCCAGGAAACAAATTCTCCTAGTTTCCATTCATCTGAAGATGTCTCAAATTCTCCTTCATTTCTAAAGGATATTTTCACTGGGTATCAAATTCTGGGTTGACAGTTTTTTTCTTTCCATAATTTTGTGCCACTTTCTCCTGGTTTTCATGGTTTCTGGTGATAAATTCACTGTAATTCTCATTTTTCCCCCTCCCTATAGGTAAGTTGTCATTTTTCTCCAGCTGCTTTCAAGGTTTTTTTGTCTTTAATTTTTAGAAGTTTATAATATGTCTTGTGACATTCTATAGATATATCTTGTATAAGACACTCTTAGCTTCTTGAATCTGTAGATTTATCTTTCTTGCCTAATCTGGGAGTTTTTAACCATTATTTCTTTTATTTTTAAGAGATTTTATTTAGTTATTTATTTATTAGAGAGACAGAAAGCACGAGAAGGGGGAGGGTCAGAGAGAGAAGCAGACTCCCTGCCAAGCCGGGAGCCTGGTGTGGAGCTTGATCCTGGGTCTCTAGGATCATGACGTGAGCCAAAGGCAGATGTTTAACTGACTGAGCCACCCAGGTACTCCAACCATTATTTCTTTGAGTACTTTTCCAGCCCCACTTCCTTCTCCTCTCCTGCCTTCAGTGACACAAATGCTGTATCTTTTGTTGTAGTCCCACTAACCCCTAAGGTTTTCTTCATTTTTTTTTTCAGTTTATTTTTTCCTCTGTTGTTCTTATTGAGTGATTTCTATTATTCTATCTCCCAGTTCACAGATTTTTTTTTTTTTCCTTTCTCCCCTCTATTCTGCTACTGACTCCATCCATTAAACTTCTACTTTGGTTATGTATTCTCAGTCCTAAATTTTCCATTAGGTCTTTATAGCTTTTATTTCTCTGCCATGACTTTTTATTTCTTTGCTGAAGCTTTCTATTTTTTCATTTCTTTCTAGGAGCTTCGTAATTGCTTTTTGAATCATTTTTATCATGGCTGCTTTGAAATCTTGGTTGTGTAATTTTAATATCCCAGTCATCTCATGTTGGCATCCTTTCTCATTTGGTTTGAGATCTTCCTGGTTCCTGGTATGAAAAAATTTTTTATGAGCTTGGAAATTTTCATATTATGTTCTAAGACTCTTGTTCTTATTTAAGCCTTCTTTTTTGTCTATGCTGGTCTGACACTGCTTCAGCCAGGGAAGAACAGTGCCACCCATCATTATCAGGTGGAAGTAGAAGTCCAGGCTCCCCACCTGGCTTCATTGAAACTTGAGGAGAAGAGCTCTTAACTACTAATAGGATGGGGTGGTAGTTTGAGATCCCCACATGGTCTCCACTAACACACAGAGAGGGAGGGTTGTTACTGGCCGACAGAGAGGAAAGTCCCAGCTTCTTCCTTGGCTTTTCTTATACCACCTCTTTGGGAATATTGGGGCACCTTCTTACAGCCTCAGAGTGGTAAAATTCTGAGCTCCTCACTTGGACTTTGTTGCTATGGATAGGGCCCAAGGTTTTTCTTTGGTATCTTGCTGAAGTAGAGTGGCTATTGTCTAAGTTTTCTGTTTTTTTAGGCTGCTCCTTTCCTAGTCCTTTAGCTAATGATAACTGTCTTTTGTTAGGGTTTTTTTTTGTCAGCACTTGTTGGTATGTCTGGGATGCTATCATCTTAGCTCCAAGTCTGGGATTTAGCTTATAAAACCCAGATAACTCACCACCACATTGTTCCTTGAATCCTGAGTCTCCTAGTTAATTGTCTTCTTCTCTTCACCTTTCAGAGTCTTCTTATGTTGTATACATAATGTCCAGGATTTATAGTTGTATTTCGTAGAATTATAGGGAACATCTCCTATATTTAAGGCATGGGGGACACAAAGACTAAAACATTAAAAAAAATTCAAACTATTAAATAAGTAAAATGGAATCAAGTAATTGTGATTCAGTGCTATGGGGATATGAAAAAGGCATGTATAATTATGAATAGAGATTTAGTGAAGGGATTCACAGAAATAACATAAGCGAGGTTGGGAATGATTTGTTTATTCAGTAGTTACCACCTGCCTACTTTATATTAGGTTCCTTGATGATGGCTGTAGAATGAATGGTATTTTGACAGAGATCAGGAAATGGAGTGGCACAGATGGCAGGGTAGGCACTCAAGCAATAAGGACAGTTGAAACACACATACAAATTTGGGATGCCAAACAGAACTTATTAAAACTATAAGCAGTGCTGTTTGAAAACTCATTAAATTTGGAAACACTAAATTATACTAATAGTGTTATTAGCTAACTTTCATTTACTCTATGTGCCAGATACCATAGATAAGTGATTTATATGAAGCATTTTATTTAAGGCTCATATCAAGCGTATTCAGTAGGTATTATCCAAACTTTAGAGATGAGGAGCCTCAGGCTTAGAAAAATAAGTAACATATCTATAATCATACAGTTAGAAAGTAAGGGAGTTAGGATTCAACCTAAAGCAGTCTGAGTAAAGAGTCTCTATCTTACCCACTACACTAGCATATAGCAGGCAATAAATTATAGAATTTAGCAAAGACTTTAAAGATGCTTACCTTGGGGTTTTCATGTACATGAATGTTGTTTTACAGATGTAGATGCCATGCACCTGGGCAAAAAAGTCAGCATCCCCAGAGACATCATGTTGGAAGAATTATCCCATCTCAGTAACCGTGGCGCCAGACTATTTAAGATGCGACAAAGAAGATCTGATAAATACACATTTGAAAACTTCCAGTATGAATCTAAAGCACAAATAAATGTAGGTATAACTTGATTATGTGGTATCTAAATAAAGAGGTAGCATTTCTAAGTGTATTTGTATCACTGGATTCCCAAACAAGTATTCTACATATTTATTCAATGTATTTTTTCTGTGGATTTTGTTAGATCTTTTTTTATGATAATAAATAGTTTAGATGAACAAACAAAAGAAGTATTATATATGTAATGAGTATCTTTTTAGTTCAGTAGGGACATGGCAAACCTGTAAATTTGGCACTGAAAAGCTGGTGTGTTCTGCTAAGAGGAGGGAGAGGGAGTAGAGATTGGCGGAACTAAAAGTTTCCATGGTCTTATCTCTACTAGTTAAATGTTTGGGATGGAAACACTTCCAAAGCACACAGCACTCCACAAAGTAAGCATAAGCATTTTTCTGTCTGAATACATCCTGGCACTGAAATGTGCCTAAGAGCTACAGACCTAGTTGAGCTTCTCTCCCTCAAAGCATTTATTCCACATCATGTAAGGAAGTCTGATACCTATTAATAACAAAACCAAGGTGGACAAAACTCTTTAGACCAAAGTTTTCCTCAGCTGAAAAATAATAAACAAATGAACAGACAAATTAATTGTATTATATTTTACATACTGCATTAAACTATGTTCTTTTAAACTGTCATGTAGAGAGATTGTCGAGGAAGAAGTTAATAACAGGAAAACAACTAGTTTTGGGGGATTGGCTTTAAAAATAAAATACCAAGCATGAAGAATCAAAAGGGAATAAAGAATTGGTTCTAAATTTGGAGAGGTGGTGGAGACTATAACAAATTTAAATTTTATTTACTGAGGGTTTTTTCCTATAGCTATGGGAAGTCTGTACCTTTACTTGTGAATTTAAACCCTACCATTTGCTAGCTGCCATCACTAACCAGTTGTTTTGAATGGACATCTCACTTCTTTGCAACAAACAGACTAGTTTCACTGGGATCTTTTATAGTTATATAACTAACATCCACATCCAGAAACACTGAAATGTTAGTTATTCAAAATGTCTGTTTCTCTGGTTAACAATAAATGGAGAACAACTTAAATGAAAAAATTTATTTTGCACATTAATAAGTCTCATCCAACATGCAAAAAGTGTAGTTTTAACTATGAATTCAGTTAGATATCAAATCTTACTGAACTACAGTATTTACATTTGTGAGGGATGATTTTTCACTTGAAGTCATGGATAAATATAATGTTATGTTACTCTATCATTATGTCTAATATCTAGTTATCAAAAATGATTGTAGCTAATACAGTGTGAGACTAAAATAATCCGTATCTCAGCTGATGGAGTCTAATTATATAATCATATTCTTTTAATAATGACAACAGCTTTAAGGAGTAGTATAAAATAAGGTGGCTTAAGGAAATTCTTTGAGAAGTCATCTACAAGTCTAGACATCTGAATAAATGAGTAAATCCAGTTTTCATAACTTATACTTACATCTTTAAGTCTATGCTTTATAGTTCTGGAGCAAGGGACAATGAGTGTTTAAATGTAATTATAAACACTACATATTCCCTCATCTCCAGGGTCTTAGTTTATTTTCATTAACCTGTGGCCAAAGGTTCTAATTATACATAAAATCTAAGAACATGCCTTGATAGTTTTTCAGTATTCCTAGAAAGTTGGACACTAAATAAATAAAATAGTCCAAAACAGCCATATTGAAACAAACAATTAAATGCTGATAAGTAACTTAGAGCAACAAACAATAATAATGTATGCCATGAACTTGTATGTCATTCAGCTCCATAACATACATACTCTGAAGTCTGATGAAATCTACTCTCTCTTTAGAAATGAGGAACGTAGTGTTCAAGGAAGTATATTCATTTATCTTAAGCAACACTATAATAAAGAAGATTGAAACCCAACTCTCAGAATTCTAGAATTCTTGGTACTGACACTTATCATGGTATAATCAAAGGAAACTGGGTTGGAAACTAGGAGACCAGGGTTCCATCCCAGCCATCCTACAAGCCATGCAATTCGGAGTCAATTTAAAAGTTTCTTTGCTTTCCTGGACCTGTTTTCTCATTTAGAAAATGAGTGAATGGACTCAAATGTTCTCTAAAGTGTCTTCTTTAATGATCTATATTTAATTCTAAAATTGACCTGTATGATAAATTATTGAGGAAAATAGTGAGCCACATTATATAATGATATATTTGCTTTATCAAGGCATTAGATTGCAACTTGGAGCAAGCCTTATTAATATGAGAGGAATTTTTAAAACAATATTAGGTTCAGATCTACTTCCATTCATTTATTTACACTTTTGGCAAATATTTATTGAATGCCTACTATGTTCTAGATAGGATGCTGGGAGTTCAAAGACAAATAAATACAGCTTTTGTGTAGTGAAAGGGAAACAAAATAACACTGAAAGATAGAAAACAACTATTACTTATAGTCTACTTCTTGAATCATCTTTATATGATTTAAATAACATTTTCCTGATTTATTGACTATATTTTCTGAAGCGAACTTTTACTGTTTCCCTTAAGCTATACTGTCAAGATAATTATTTAACTCTATATACATGTCTTATTTTATTATAATGTTTAGGACATCATTAGATGAAAATATAAAGCAACTCCCTGGTAATTTAATGCCATTTGTTCAAATATTAATTATCATCTTAAAAATTTAAAAAATAGGTTAGCTTTGGTCACACTCTGCTGCTGAGAAATTGGCATATTCAAGCCACACAAACTTTATGACATAAATAATAACAGGAAATGTGCTTTCTTAACAAGAAATAAAGATCCACTGCTTGCTACACAAGCCAATTTTGAACCCTTAGTTCATGATTGATCAAATTCTTTTTTTTTTTAAGATTTTATTTATTTATTTGACAGAGAGATCACTAGTAGGCAGAGAGGCAGGCAGAGAGACAGAGAGAGAGAGAAGCAGACTCCCTGCCGAGCAGAGAGCCCGATTCGGGGCTCCATCCCAAGACCCTGAGATCATGACCTAGGCCGAAGGCAGAGGCTTAACCCACTGAGCCACCCAGGTCCCCCTCCCTTTTTTAAAATAGTCTCCATGCCCAATGTGGAACCTAATGTAGGGCTTGAACTCATGACCCTGAGATCAAGACCTGGACTGAGATCAAGAGTTGGACACTTAACTGACTGAGCCACACAGGTACCCCAACTCATGAAATTCTTGCACCAATAGACAAAAAAATAAAATGGATGAAGAAAATGAGCATTTAAGGAAAAACAAAATAGAGGAATGATTCATGATAATTAAAATTATCTTCTACAAATCACTATAAAATGATATTGAGGAAAACAATCTACATTTTATAGTAAAGATTACATACGTATTTGGTAATCATGGACTTTTTGAAATCTGTTGAGAACTTATATAATACTGGGGAAAGAGGAAGTATACTATAAAAAGTAATTCCAAAATAAAACTAAACTAAATATACTGAGATTCTCAAAATATATTTATTTGCTACAAAAAATAACTTCTATGTATTTAGTACAAATTATAGAACAGTTTTTTTAAATCCTTTTATTTCTATTGATATTTCAACAGAAATCATGTAATAGACCTTATCTATAACTTCTATGTTTATAACCTATAAGATGCTGCATTAGTTTTATTTTGTTTAGGGTCAACTTAATTGAAATAAAAAGAAACACATTTTCATTTACTCTTCAACTTTTCATGAAGGGAATCACATATGATGGAACTCTATAATTTAAGGCTTGTCATAACTAAAGTAAGTTGCTACCCAACTATTATTAGGCTTTGTTTGTATACTTAACAATGACAATAGAAATACTGGGTGTCTCCTGATAATTAATGACTAGCTAGAAACAGTTGATTGTCCTGTTCACTAATCCCCAGGAAAAAGTCTCTAATGAAAGTCAGTATTACAATTCTTAAAATACCATAGATAGAATGATTTGTAAGTTTAGTTGAAATGCATTTCACAGAACTTAGAAAAAGAATCCTAAATGCATGATAGTCCTATATTTATCTCAACTGGCTTTTTGTTTATAATTAACATTTTAAGAGGTGGTATAAGTTCAGAGTGAGAAAAAATACTAATCTGGTCAAATAAGTCTAACACTTAAGATAATAACTACATTCAAAATGCTAAATACTAATATTTCTGAGTACAGCATTACACCAGTCTTTAGAAATTATTCTTTATTGTCTATGAAATAAAATATCAACTCTTCTGCCTAGTAATCAAACCCTGTGCTCACCTAACAAACATTACCTCTCATGTCTTTGCACCTTTCCACAAGCCAACTCACCATTGCTTACATGTGCCCTATTCATTTCCACAGCAGCTTTACCCTGGTGCTGCAGAGAATAAGGTGAATTTTGTAAAAATCACCTGGCAAGAGGCTGTTGGTTGGGTTAAGCCTGAAAATGAGGGTGAAGTTTATATTGGTATTAAATACAAAATTATTTTTCACCATATCATTATAAATAAATGCAGAAGTGATAAAGCATTTCCAATTATTTTTTGCTTATGTCACACAGAGAAAAGTCAAAGTTGGTTTTTATTTGATGTTCTCTTCACTAAATTTTTCTTTTTAGGGTTAAAAAAATTGACTTTAAATACTTCGTAGATTGGCTTTTTTTTTTTTTTTTAAGATTTTATTTATTTGACAGAGAGAGACACAGTGAGAGAGGGAACACAAGCAGGGGGCTGGGAGAGGGAGAAGCAGGCTTCCCGCAGAGCAGGGAGCCTGATGTGGGGCTCAATCCCTCAATCCCAACACCTTAGGATCATGACCTGAGCCAAAGGCAGACCCTTAATGATGAGCCACCCAGGCGCCCCAGTTGGCTTCTTTTCTAAAACACATATTTTGGGATGCCTGGGTGGCTCATTTGGTTAAGCTTTTGGCTCAGGTCCTGATCCCAGGGTCCTGGGATGGAACCCCACTGTAGGACTCTCTACTCAGCAGGGAGCCTACTTCCCCCTCTTCCTCTGCCTGCTGCTTCCCCTGCTTGTGCTCTTTTTCTTTCTCTCTCTTTCTCTGTGTCAAGTAAATAAAATCTTTTAAAAAATAAAATAAAACATAAATATTTCTCAGATATAATTAAAACAATTCTTTATTATAGAGATAAGGCCTAGTCATGCTTCTAAGAACATTACCTATTAAAATGTCTTTTTTCTCTGTTAAAATGAAGATTGACTGTTTTTAGAAGTGCTATATTAATGTCATAGAATAAATCCTAAATTATAATCATAAAACAAATTCACCTAAAACTTAAAAGACAAACATCTCTTTTAAGCATTTTGTTTCCCAGAAATCCCAAATTCTTCCTTTTACAGATCTATGCAGCTTTAAGTATATTTTTTTATACAGCTGGTGTTCAAATTTCAGATTAAATTTTAAATTAAAATTAAATATAAACACTATAAATAGAGATAGTAATGTAACAATGACTATGCCAAATGTTTGGCCAGTATGCTCTATAATACTAGATTATTAAAGACTTAAAAATTAAATAGATTCACCTTTATGGGGACTTTGTGAATAGTACATTAATTAATTGATACAAAGCCCTAGATACTGCCTGGCACATAGTAAGGTTCAATTAATTATTATTAACTGGAATGTTATCATAAAACATATCTTAAGTTAGTATCAGTAAAAGTTCTCATTCAATAGCTCCAATTACATATAAGCTATTGAGACCCCAAGAAACAAGGCAGTGGCGCCGTACTTAAATTTTAAATATACCAGTGGAGTTTTGCACATATGGTGTCTCCATGTTAGTGTGTCTAGTATTTTTGGGTTTTCAGCAGAGTTTATTTCTGATCACATACAGCACAACATTGCCATGCAGAATGGGAAACTGGATGGAAGCAACTTGGAAGGTGGCTCACAACAAGCCCCATTTACCCCTCCCAACACTCCGGATCCACGAAGTCCCCCAAATCCAGAAAACATTGCACCAGGTAACTATTCCCTTAGAAACAATAAATAAACAATAAGTAAAATAAACAGGATGAAATTGCTGTGCACTTAAATCTATGACTCAGGTCATCTGGATGCTTTAGTAAATGGTATCTAAATGACATGGCTTTACTCATTACATGTCTATTTTGTGGTTAAGTTCAAGATAAATATAAAGATTCAGATCTAAGGAGTCATGTAAAACATCTACTATGTTCTTTCAGATGGTTCTTTATATTTGTTATATTAAAAATTGAGTCACTTATAATTACATTGACATTCTATTTGTATAGGACCATAATTTATGAAGTGCTAATCTTGTCTTCTTTAATTTCAAAATAACTCTGATATATTTATTACAGTCCTCATTTTACAAATTAAGAAACTGAGGTCACAAATGGTTATAAACTCATTGAATGATCAAGAATTAAATCCAGTTACCAAATTTACAGATGCCTTGTGAAATTGACCTTGTGGAGGTTACTGTCATTATTCTCTGCTTCCTTAAAGGATGTTAAATGCAATTCTTCAAGATTGCCTATTTGTTTATTATCTTAAAAGAGAAATAAATCCTTATCTAATGAGTATATGTTACTCAGAAATATTGTTAGATTTTGAAATATTAAATGTCACAAGAATTATCTAGACAACACCATTTCAAAATAAATGACAGCAAGTACCTTCAAGTATTCCCTCAAGAGTACTGTACAAAGTAGATTTTTTAAAGACTTGAAATTAGCAATATCTATGTCATATTTTTGTAAAATAAGCAATAAATTTAGCAAAAGCAATTCGAGTTCTTCTCAAATAGCCAGTTTTTGAAAATATGTAAGTAAAGCAAATGTACCATATTGAATCTTACTTAAAAATAAATTAACTCAGTCATTGATGTGCTTAGATTTATTAGGACATTCTTACTGAACACCATGAGAAAAAGCACTGATAGACAAAATAGCCCTGAAGGAGACCAAGAACATACTTAGAATGCATAGAACTCTTAAGTGAAGCATCATAATAAAGTTGTCAAATGGCTTTAAAGTAGCCTTTTTTTTTTTTTTTTTTTTTTTTTTTGGTGGCAGAAAAGCAGGTAACAGATTCTACATATACAGTGTTAAGCACACAGGAGAAAAACAAGCCTAAGGATCAGACAGACCTGGGTTTAACCTTCTGGCTCCATCCATCCCTGCCCATTTTACTACTGTGTTGGGGACGAAAGTAACTCTCTTTGAGTCTCCATTGTCTTCATCAGTAAAATAAGCAAAACAAATCTCACTGCACAGGGTTCTGAGAATTAAGTGTGATAAGTATAATCCCAACCATATAATAAAGTACAGTAGTCCTCCTCATCCACAGGGCATATACCCAAGACCCCAGTGGCTTCCTGAAACTGTGGGTAGTATCGGATCCTATATATACAAAGTTTTTTCCATACATACATACTTAAAATAAGGTTGCATTTATAAATTAGGGACAGTAAGAGGTTAACAACAATAACAAAATAGAACAATTATAACAATACACTGTAGTAAAACTTATGTGAATGTGGTCTCTCTCTCTCTTTCAAAATCTCTTATTGTACTATACTCACCTTTCTTGTGATGATGTGAGATGACGAAATGCTGGTGTGATGAGATGAAGTGAGGCGAATGATGTAGGCACTGCGACATAGCGTTAGGCTATTATTGACTCTGACCATGAGTCAGAAGAAAGAGCAGCTGCTTTGGGACAGGACCGGACAGAACAAGGATAACTGCCTTTAACTGAAACTGCAGAAAGTAAAACCAAGGATAAGAGAGATACTACTGTATTTAGCTAAAGTTAATTCTTTCCCTATCAACTTTATATCCTTAAAACAGAAAAGAACACATACATATCCTTTTAGCTCCCACCACTATTTGACAACATTCTGATTTCTAATGTTTAGAGTGTTTTTTGTTTGTTTTCTTAAATAGTAAAGAGAAGACATATAGAAATGTTTGTGTTGGTTCAGTCTGGTACTTTCAACACTGTGTTAGAACTTTTGTTATATGGTCATCATTGTAAACCATATCATGGCAAAAGGAATAAAAAAAATTCATCTCTACCCTCAAGGAATTCACCCTTGAGACAGTACAAAAGTTCATGTTACATTTGTTGTCTCACTTTCTCTCTGCATATCTAATTTAATATCTTTTGCATTTTATTTACTGTCAGGAATATATATATACACACATATGTGTAAATATTTATACATATATAAATAGAGCATTTAAAAGTATAAACTCATACAGTTCTTTAAATCTAAATATCCAGTTATTAAATATTAAGAAATGTCTATGTAACATAGACTAAGAAAAGGGGGAGTGTGGAGGTTATCAGGTAGTTTATCCTGAAACAGAGTAATGGACTCTTTCTTCTTGGTTGATAAGTTTAAAAGTATAGCAAACTGAAGAAGCAAACTTAAGCTTATCCTAATTTAGCAAGAATTATCCTTAGTTAACATACTATGTATCCAAAAGCTTTTTGAAAAGTTTCTTCAAACATGAATCAATAAGAGTATTATGATGCCATAATATTGCAGGAATTAAGTTCTTTGAATTTAAATCAGTTATGTTAAGGACAGTATTTATATTATCATGTAGCATTGTTGAAATGTAATATATCTGAGAACTTAAACACATTACATTCCTTCCTGTACATAATTCAGCATATCAAAAAAGAGTTATTAGTTAATTCTATCTATAAAAAGAAATTAAAAAACCAGGAATATTTTAAAAATGTGAAAAGATTAGACCCCTTATCATCTTTCAGTGTAGGAGGTTATTATGAAACTCTTATGAAAATGATTATAAACATGAAAATATTCTAAGCAAACTTGGTTAGGAATAAAAAATACTAGATAGAAGGTTTACTAGAATTACAGTTATGTGATCATTATGTTTACGGGTGAAAAAAACTGAGAAAAAATACACAAAGGTAAAATAATTGTATTAGGGTAGTGGGATTTCAAGGAATTTTTTTAAAATATAAAATTCTAAAATGTCCAGTTTCTAGATGGTTGATATCTGATCACTTTTAGGAAAGGAATGGGAAATAAAATGTGCTCGTTGTGATAATGGAGTTCTGTATACCATACAAATGGAAAGCACAAGAAAAGTAACTCTGCTTTTCTGGGGGAGATAGGAAAGGTTAAATAGAAGAGGTCACGTTAAGCTAGGGCTTAAGGGAAGCATTTGCAGGTAGCAAGAATTAGAAAGATCATTCCAGGCACAGGGAACTAATGGAGCAAGTAGAGAACCATAAGGGGACACAACATGTGTCAAGCAGATCCAAGTTCTGGAGCATAAAAGTGTGGGAGGAGAATGGCAGGAGCTGAGGCTGTGCCGAGTAACCTAGGTTTTGGTCATGGGTAGCCATCATAGCACCCTGGGAAAGGGAGGTCAGCGACATGATCCGGTTTTCCAGTTGGAAAGGTCACTCAGGCAGCATTGTGGAGAGTCTGGGGAGGAGTTGGAGACTAAAGGACGAGTACGAAGACTATCGTGAAAGCCCAGGCAAGGGGTGGCCAAGGCCTGAACCAAGGTAGTAGTAAAGGAAATGAAGAAAGAAAAGGAACTTTCCAGAGCAAGTTTTCCCAGTGTTCTGTTTGCAAATCCCTTGCTTAAGATTTATAAGCCATACTTGAGACCTACTAAAGCCAAATCTCTGCAAGGAAGAACCCATTTAGCCCAAAGTGACTCAGAAATGAAGTTGAGAGTCACTATTTTAGCAATTCTTAAGAAGCACAGCTGTACTTGGTGATCTGCTGTGGGAAAGAGAGGAAGTTTAGGACAATGCTTCTATCTTGGGCATCTGAGGGTAGTGTTGGTATCACCAAGGATAACTAATATAAAGGAAGAACTAAGTAGAAAATGGCTACATGTAGGTCTAGACAGATTATTAAGGATGTCAGGGGATATTCGTTTGGACAAATATAATGGGAGGTTGAACAGAAGAGCCTGGAGATTAAAAAAAAAAAATCATCAATATGTAGGTCACAATTGTGACCAGGAATATAAGTGGAATTTTCTGGGGAGAATGTATAGTATAAGAAAAGAGCTTTGAGTAGCTAAGTGGCAAGCATCAAAAGAGACTACTGTGAGATACTGTAGGTAACCAAAAGAAAAATTAAGTTACTGCAAACAAGTAACTGCCTAGACGTGGCATTATCAGCAAGATATTTTGGAGGAGATAAACTCTTCAGTGTAAAGAAAGGATAGACATGATTGTACAGGAGAAAGCAGAAAACATTTTAGAGAAGAGAAAGAGCCTCAGAAAAACCTAAAAGTAAGAGTGAACAGATGGGTTTTGACATCGTGGAAAAAAGAATTAGGCAAAGGACACAATAAGGTTGTACCGTGGTGTAGTTGGAGAGTACCCAGCTGCCTTTGAGTACTTGAAGAATGTCACTTTGATGCAGGTGAAAGAGGTTTAAAGTTGATGCCAGAAATTTGTGTGATTTTTAAATGGCACTTACAAAAAATTTCCAGCTCCCAGAAGAAGTTGAGGAGGTGAGACCAAGCAGAAAAGTTAGGTAAGAAATCTTTAGGAACAAAGTAAGCATGGGAGGGGCACACCGGAGAATAAGATTGGGGCCTGATTAAGGCAATGGAAACAAGTTATTTCACCATTTTGAAGTTTAAATGGTTTGCAGATCACTTAGCAATTTAAGATAGACAAGACCTAAAAATTACCTCTACCAGATCAGCCCCCAGAGGAGGGAGATTTTGTCTTCCCTGATCCTTCCCCAGCACCTAGACCACGGTAGACACTCAATGTATATTTTTAAATTAATTCATACACTCTGATATCTAAAGCCTACTATAAATTAATGTAAGGGCGGGGTGCCTGGGTGGCTCAGTGGGTTAAAGCCTCTGCCTTCAGCTCAGGTCATGATCCCAGGGTCCTGGGATCAAGCCCCACATCGGGCTTTCTGCTTGGCAGGGAGCCTGCTTCCTCCTCTCTCTCTGCCTGCCTCTCTGCCTACTTGTGATCTCTGTCTGTCAAATAAATAAATAAAATCTTTTTAAAAAATTAATGTAAGGGAAACAATTTTTTACAATTAAATGAATAGTTGCACTGAACAAATACATACTAGGATAATCAAGGAAGAAATACTTGTATGATTTGGTATAATTAAACATAAGGAAAAGTGGTTTCTTTTGAAATTCCATAAGTTTAAAGGGGTTAAAAATGTCTTACAGTTTCAGACTACTCTTTTCTAAGAGAGCATAAAAAGGATGCATTCTTCATAAGTTCACCCCCACTTGAAAAATTAAACATGGTAAAATGTTAGGTGGAGTTCAGTAACTCCTAGGGCTCTGTATTTATTTATTCTTGCTATATTTTTCCAAAGGATATTCTGGACCACTGAAGGAAATTCCTCCTGAAAAGTTCAACACCACAGCTGTCCCTAAGTACTATCAGTCGCCCTGGGAACAGGCCATTAGTGATGATCCGGAGCTTTTAGAGGCTTTATACCCTAAATTTTTAAAGCCTGAAGAAAAGGTAGAACTGCCTGATTACAGAAGCTTTAACAGGTAATCCAATTATCCTGGGTGATACTGTTGGCATCTAATACCGAGGGTTTTATATCATAGTGTGGAGAACTGAATTCTCTGGAAGAAAAAGAAATTTTAATAATAGATTCAAAATAGTCATACAGGATAACTCCTAAGCCTAGGCAAGGACCTATTTTTGCAATATTACATATTTACAATATGGCAAGACTTGGGGTTTTTTTTAGTACAAAAATGAAGGAACTGTTTCAGAAACCATCACTATTAAAACATCAAGATGATTTCCCACATTATTAAATGTTTTTTAAAACATTTTTATTAAAAAGTTTTATTAAGAAGTTTTTTAAAAAATTAGTAATAATTTCTCAAAGGTTGATATTAGCTTTTATGTGTTGATTCAAGTGAGAGTGCTATTCAAGAATTTCAGAAATAATTTACATATATGACTATGAGAGTTGCTGTGTAACTCTAGGCTCCAACTTATATTTTTTAAACCAGATTAAAGTTAATTTAAGGAATTATGGCCCAAGACTCCAGTATATGTATCACCAAAATTTATGCTACTAAAAATATTGCCAAATATCTGCATGATAGTATTCACAATAGATATCTAGTTCTCCCTATTATCCAATTTTAATAATTCATAATAATTAATAATTAATGGGCATTTTAGATATATATTTTAATGGTCTCCTAGTCCATTCTTTGATCATTTGGTTTTCATTTTTACAGTAAAGTATTTTTAGTGTGGGGGATGCCTTGGTGACTCAGACTGTTGAATGTCCAACCCTTGACTTCAGCTCAGGGCATGATCTCAGGGTGGTGAGATCAAGCCCCATGTCAGGCTGGTGCTGAGCATGGAGCCTGTTTAAGATTCTCCCTCTCCCTCTCTCTCTGAGGAAATGAAGAAAGATTCCTGTCCCTTTCTACCACCCTTGCTCACATACATACTCCCTCTCAAATAAATAAATAAATAAATAAATAAATAGAAGTATCTCCAGTATGCTGTTTTGCACCCACAGAAAAGTATTCCTAATTTATAGGCTGCTTAATGACTATTCACTTGAACATTAATAAATTAAGGAGTAAGTCTTTGATTCACAAAAGAATACCACAAAGTCTACATTTAAATAGTGATCTTCTTTAGTACTTTTAAAACTATTACACTATTAGAATGTTAGTTTTCACATCCTACTATTGTAGTGGTATTAATATTATGCTTCTTATTAGTAATAGAGCTACTAGGATTGCTCCTAATACTATTACTAATTGGTAACGCTAATAGTACTAGTATTACATCTACTGCGTAAATGAGGTATACCATAGAATTTAAGGAAGGATTGAGGAGTGTCTGGGAAAGGAGACTGGATGGCCACTGTAATCAACGATAGAACTTTCTCCCACAATGAGAGTGTAGAAAATTACAAAAAGTAAGACATTAAGGGAAAATGGAAAATAATGGAATACTTGAGGCTTGTTTCTGAGATTAGTGCTTTAGAGATGTTGTGTGACTTCTTGTGCACCTTGTGGCTTTCCTATCCCATGCCTGCTGAGCAGCTTGCTTCCAGTTTTACAAACACACTGGGATATTTGGGTTGGCTATAAAGAGATGCCTCTTGTTTGTATAAACACCAAATGAGTGCTAGTTCAGTGAGAGAGAGAAAAAGAGAAGTTAACCTGTTAATAATTCTCCTTTCCTTGAAAAAATTTTCTTTTTATATACACATCAATATATAAATAAAAACTCCAGAACTTAATGTTAATATTACAGCCTATTCTTAGATTCTTTTTTATGAACATAGTTTGGTATAAGTCAATGTACATTTCATTATTATTTTAATGTGTACAAATGTCTTTTCATACAGATATGACAATATTTTAGTCATTGTCACTGATTTTATGAGACAGTAAATAAGCACTAATCAAATTTTAAAGAAAATTTGAGTATGGTTGACACATGATATTACATGAGTTCTGGGTGTACAACACAGTGCTTCTGCTGTGCTCACCACAAGTGTAGCTACCATCTATCACCATACAGTGCTATTATAACACTACTGACTATATTCCTTATGCTGTACTTTTAGTCACATGACATTCGTTCTATAACTGGAAGACTGTATCTCCTGTACTCCTTCATCCATTTTGCTCATGCTCCCAACGTCCCTCCCCACCTGGCAACCATCAGTTTGTTCTCTGTATTTGTAAGGCTGATTCTGCTTTTTTGTTGTTGTTCATTTGTTTTGTTTTGTTTTTAGATTCCACATATAAGTGGAAGCATATGGTATTTTTCTCTGATTGAGTTCACTTAGCATAAGTGAAATATAAGTGAAATTCACTTTAGGTCCACCCATGTTGTTGCAAATGACAAGATCTCATCCTTTTTTTACGGCTAAGTAGTAGTCTGTTGTGTATATTCCAGTGGAATATATACCACATCTTCTTTATCCAATCATTTACTGAGGGACACTTGGGCTGCTTCCATATCTTGGCTATTGTAAATAATGCTGCAATGTTCTTAGATTCTTTTTATTGTTAAATAACAGATGAAACAAAATATGATACATAGATAATCCCAAACAGGTACCTTTAAGAGCCTTTTTGCCCTTAAAGTATATGTATCTGGCTACACAAAATTTGAGGCCTTGTCTGTTGCATACATTGCTCTAAAAGCCTACTTAACAAACATTTAAACAGTATAACCATATCTTTGCCTTGAATGCTTGCTAAATAAATGAGCCTATAAAAAATTACATGGGTAGGAAATGGAAATCTGTTTCTAGCTACAGAAGACTAGTTTATATTAGAACAACTTCAAACAAATAACTAGAAAATCTAGTTATTATAAAATGTTTGAAAACCTATCAAGGAATTAAGGACTTAAGGGCCAAACTAGACATGAGGTAAATTTAGAGAAGTAAATTCACATTTGGTACCACTTTTCCCTGTTAAGGATTTTGCTGATTTATTGGCCACAGCTAGTAAGTAGAGAAAGTAAGCAAACTTTTCAATAATCTTGAATCTGGGAAGGCCAAAAATAGGAATATAGGGTCTGCTAAGAGGAGAAGCCCAAACATTCTAAGCTTTTAGTTGGGATTCTTACAGGCTATCCCACTGGAATAAAGGTGAACAAATAATAGATCAGCTTTCATGAAAATAAATACTGGTCCTAATCAACACAATCCTAGGTTGGATAAAAAAATCACCTCCTTTATGTCAAACTGCCTGCTGTGGCCAAAAGTAAATCAGCATCTTGCATCCAATGGATAACCATATATTCCTGAACTCCCATGAGTGGGTGCGAGGCCTGTGCAATTGCATGGGGTGCCCATGCTTTGAAGGGTCATGATTGGTTTTTCAATGCTTTGTTGTCTTTAATGTGAAATTCTTAACAATTTTTTAGCAAGAGCCCTAGGTTTTCATTTGGGGCCTACAAATTACACAGCTGGTCTTAATCCAAGGCTCCAAGCTTAGGAAGTGGTTATTGACCAATCAGGTGGACTAAGGTGCTTTTTACCCTAAGCTTCTCTGCATGCAGGACACTCTTGCAACTACCTTATTAAATGATATGTTTTTTTATCTTCATGTTTCACTCTTTACTTGTCCATAAGATCTATTGCAATCTTTCCATCTTTGAATTCTGAGCACATACTAAGGTATTTAGACATAATAAGCCATCAGTAATTTGTTGCATGAATAAATGACTGAATCAACAAATAAACAAACTATTGATTACAATGGCCATCTTCTAAAATGATAAAACACTGTCTTGGACATCTTGCACATCCAAGGATAAGTATTACTTATGTACTGAATCAACTCTGAGTCATAAAGACTCTTCAATTCACTAAATCAAATGACAAAATGTGAGACATTGAATCAGCTAGTTGCATCATGAATGGGACAGCAACCTGTCTTGACATCACTTAGACACAGCCCAAGCAGGGTGACATTCCTAAACACACTGCTCTACTGAGCAAATAATCTCAGAAGGCCCATATACCCCAAGAATTATCTCATGAGGGTGTGGTATAGAGTAGTGACTAGAAAAATAGGACTCATGGGAGACTGGGTTTAAATCCTCGTTCTACAACTTAATAGGTGGGGGACTTTGGGTAAGTCATTCAACTTAGCTGTGTTTCTGTCATCTATTAAATAGGGACATAAGTAGAACCAATTTATAAGGTTGTGAGGATTTAATGAAAAAAAAAAAAAAACAAAACAAAACAGGCAAAGCCTTTGTCTTCCAAGTTTGACCCACAGGCCAGTAGCACTGGCATTACCTGGGAATTGGTTAGAAATGTGGAGTCTCAGGACACACACTAGACTGACTAAATTAGTGTCTGCTCTTTAACGAGACCCCAATGTGACTCCTTTATCAATAGAGTTTGAGAACCATGTAAAAAAGGGTCTGATATATTAGTACCTAGTCGCTAAATAATAGCTGTAATCATTACTATGCCTTCTGGAGCTTAATAATGATAAAGAACCTGAAATGATAATCTAAATTCTTTGAGTTCTTTTCTAAACTGATCTCTTTTACCTCCAGAGTATGGTTTTAGGCCCTGAATGTGAAAATCTATACTGATACCGTTGCTAAGTACTACCTTGGACTGAGGTTACTGCACCAATCAGTGACCTGTTATTATCCATATCTACCATAGCAATTTGGGGGAAATATCATCAGGTCAGTCAACCTGAAAACAGATGCAACAGAAAATAAAACATACTGCTCATCAGAGAGGAGCAAATTAGTGGAAGATAAGAAAATGATGAGAAACAAGACAGAGATTCTATACCATGGACCATCTGTTCAGCCATTGTTGAGATCCTCTGTCCACTCAATGGATGTTCCCTTCACTGAGGATTTTAGTGTCCGGCTCACTGTCTTCCTCCCCAGGACTATTCTGCTCATACTTCTTGGTAGCTTCGCAATCCATATATGATTTATTGAACTCTCCACCCTTTCAAGTCTTTCTCTCATTTTAAGGATCGCTTTCTGAATCCCACCTCAGCCACCCCTGGCTTTTCTTAAAGTTTGTCATTACCAATACCTGTGTTTCCTTCAGAAGCATTTCAAGCACCCTCTTCTCTATCACATTGTATCTTTACCTTTCATTTATTCTTTTATTCAGTAAAACTTCAGCTCCACATGTTAAAGCCATCCCATATTTCAAAGTCCATCAATCACTGTCTCCTTACTAAATCACACTCCATGGTGTCTCACTATTGTCACACAGAAATTAAGATATTCAAGAAAGATCACAGAGTGACTGAGCTACAAAGAAAATCAGATCTCTTCCAGGCTTTAAAATAATCTCCACAACATTAGACAATCTGATAGTCTTCCCGGTTCCATTGTTCAAATTTTTATGAGAATCTTCTAGATATAATGCACTATACAAGTATATTGTAATGAGTTACAAAGATATATCAGAAAGAATTCCTGTCCTCTTGGAGTATGGTTTAGCACAAAAATTAGGCAGATATATCAATGGATGTAATGGAAAACAGGAAATGGGGTTACAGGGGAGGTAAAAACAGAATCCATGGAAACTTAGAGAAAGAGCTACTTCTGGCTGTGGGAGATCAAGGAAAGCTTTAAGAAGAAAGCTACATGTGTTACTTAAATAACAAACTTAGAACTTAAAGAACTTAAAGTTTACTTGGAAGTGCAAATTAGAAAAAGTTATAACCTAAAGGAGATATAGAAATGTGGTAATAAGTGTCAGAGTACTCTAACAGAGAAAAAAGAGTATGACTAAAAGTAGGAGAGCATAAGGGAGAAGAGTAAGCAGTGCATTAAATTTGGCTGGAACAGAAGGGACATAAAAAGAGAACAGGACAAATGGACATGATTGACCTTTCCACTGGGATGTCAAAATTGTTTCCCACCCATACACCAAACCTGTTCCTTTCTATATCGTCCACCAGCCAGTTGCTAAAACTCTGTATATACAACGAATCCTTGATTTCTACATTTCCTCAACAATTTTTATCCATTTTATCAGAAAATCCTGTTGACTCTACTCCCCAAACCCATCCTGAAACCATCCACCTCCTTCCATCTTCATGGAAAATACCTGAAATTCAAGCAACCATCATTTCTCACTTGAATTGCCACAATATCTTCTCTCCTTCACTCTTGTCCTCTTACGATCTATTCACAGAGCAACAGCAGTCAGAGTAACATTTACAAAAATTTAATTAAATTACACTACTCCTCTACTTAACATTTTACAGTGTTGCCCTTCACACTTAGAATGAAATTCATATCCCTTACTTGGACAAAGTCCCATACAATCCACCTCTCTGTCCTCTCTTCTACCTCTTCTACCTCTGTCCTCTCTTTACCTACTTGTCTACCAACATAGGCCTTCTTTCTTTTCCTGACCATATCAACAATATCTCTGCCTTAGATTCTTTGCATTACTTACTCCCTGTGCCTGAGATGCTAACATGGCTAACTTCTTACCATCAGATGACAGTTTAAATGTCACCTCTTCATAGAAGTCTTCCCCAACTAGCTAGCTAGTTATTCATCTATGCCCTAGTAAATTACACTACTTTAATTTCCTGCATAGCTCTCATTACTATCAGATGTTTTGTCTCTCTCTCTCTCTCTCTCTCTCTATATATATATATATATATATATAAATTGTCTGTCTTCTTCATTAGCATATAAGAGCTTGGGGTGCCTGGTGGTCAGCTAGGTGTCTGATTCTTTATTTTCAGCTCAGGTCATCTCAGGGTGGTGAGATGGAGTCCCATGTCAGTGTGGAGTCTGCTTAAGATTCTCTCCCTCTCCTTCTGCTTCTCCCCTGTCCCGCGCATGCATGTTTTCTCACTCTTTAAAAAAAAAAAAAAATGAATAAGAGAGCTCTAACTTTGAGCTCACTGTTCACGGTTACATCCCTATCACTTAGAAATGCCTGCTGCTGAATGAATAAATAAATTAATGGCTAAATCAAAGAAAGCTAGAATGTTATGTGGGGCCTTGAATGCCAAAATAAGTTGGACTTTATTCAAAAGAAAAATAGAATTTTTTCTTTTGAAAAAGACACACTTCTTGCCTTCAGAGAGCTTACAATTCACAAATTATACCAACCCATATTATAAAAGAGTAAACTCAGACCGAATCGTATTATGGGGGAAAAAAAAAAGCTAACAAGCCAAAGTACCATATCATAAGCACCAAATGACTGACACAAAACAATGCATGCTATAGGAATTTGGCTAACGAACCGTGTGCCAGCTGGGATAATTGAGAGAAAGTTGGAACTTAAAGGCCATAAGATATACACGTGTGGAGAGAAGGCAGGGAGGAAATATTGAAGCAGGGAAACATTGTTAGCAAAGACACAAAGGCAAGAAATGTTTTCAATGAGCTCAGAGTATACAATAGATTAGTTTAGTCCCAAACTGAGAGTACATACAAAGGGACTTTATATTGATGTATTAACAAATATGTTTTATCATAAAAACATTGTTCTAAAATAAAAATGCTTGCCTCAGATTTAAGAAATTAAAAATTGTATTAAGAATATAAAAACATTCCCATAGAATTACAAATTAAATTTTTTCTATTCTCTGGCAAGTGAATTTGAAAATTAATTAATGTATTCTTTTTCTTTTCACTTCTCACAGAGTTGCCACCCCATTTGGAGGTTTTGAAAAAGCATCAAAAATGGTTAAATTCAAGGTTCCAGATTTTGAGCTACTACTTCTAACAGATCCCAGGTTTATGGCTTTTGCCAATCCTCTTTCTGGTAGACGGTCCTTTAATAGGACTCCAAAGGGATGGATATCAGAGAATATTCCTATAGTGATAACAACTGAGCCTACAGAGGATACCACTGTACCAGAAACAGAAGACCTATGAAAAAAAGTTGTATGTGCCACAAAACCTTCTAAATATAAATGTTGCTGTTTCATTATTCTACTTACTGGCAATATCACTTACACTCTTCATTAGTAACAATAATTTAATAGCAATTTAGCAATTTTCCTTTGATTGCATTTAAATTAAATCTCAGATCAAACACTAATAAACAATTTGAAATCTTGTTTTAAAAACTTTCAACTCACATGTCTTTATTCATAATTTTGTTTTCACCCAGTCTAAATAATCCGGACTTGTCACTGAGAAAGTCCAGAAGAGTAACTGACAACAAAAGGTTGCGTCTTCTTTTCCTTTAATATGAGCTATTTTTGAATAAGTTTTTCAAGTGGGATCTAGAATTAAAGAGCAGTGCAAGATATTTAGACACATTTGGAGTTTTGTTTAAGGGATGAAAGCTATGGAAGCCAATGTACAAACATTATGGATGGAGAAAAGTGTTGGAAAGCATTCTTTTCTGGTGACCAGGATAAAACAGCATGTCTGGATAAAGCCTTTTCATTAGTCATTATTAGAATTTCTAAACTGCTTTGTATTTTTTGACCAGCTTTGAATCACTAGGTAACTATTCCAGATGACATTCTCCAAAGTTCAGTTGGGTGACTATATTCATTTAGTATTAAGTCAACCACACAAAGAGACAATGATACAACAAATATTATACTCGTCTTAATGGCCAGGGTATACTTGGAATTCAAGCTCCATAAATCCCAAAGCTGTGTGTTGATTATGTTTGACTTTATGTATACATTTTTAGAGGAGTAATAACAAATGAAATATATAATAATATAGGTAAAATATACATATGTATGCATGAGAGAGATGTATAATTTGAATTGACAGGGTGTTTTTTTCTGAATCTTTAAATTCTAGTCCTTAAATACTAGGGAGTATATGCTATAAAATATGATAAAAACAAGAAATGAAAGAGCACAAAACATCTGAAAGCAAGGCAGCACACATCAATCATGAGATTCGCAAACATATTGATATACAAGGCTCAAACTAATGTAAAGTTATAGATCTGTCTTAAAATACAATAGAGGGAGTAGATAGCATAGAGCTAATAAGAAATAAGTATCAATTTTTCCCATTTCAATTCAGTTAAGAGTTCTGTGATAGAAGGTTTTGCCAGAGAAGGAATGTCTCAGCCATAGAAAGCTATGCCCAGACTTAAGTTTAGGGAGAGAGGATAGTAAAGAAAATGCCACATAACAACATATTTACAAAAGAATCTGCGTATGCAGTGTTGGAATTGGTGGTTTTAATCATTCACTAGTCTTGTAAGCAGAGAATTTAAAATAAAATTGTTAATGAAAAAAGTCCCTACAAAGTAGCAATATCAAAATATTGTATTAATACATACTGAAATTATAGAGAATTTATATAATTTAAAATATATCTTTAAGATAATTTAGTTTAAGTTTTGGTGTTTATCTGTTTTAAAATAACATTGGCATATGTGATGACCTAAATACAAGGCTCTCATCATGACAATTTTCTGTCCATTTTTAGTGTTTTAAAAAATAAAAATTGTCATATTTTATTATACATTGTGATGATATCATTTAGTTTTTACTAGCAGTTTGAAATGAGTTACTATTTCTCATTAAATTGAAATTTTATTGCATGATTTCAATGATCTCCAAATAATTTAACTGTGTGCTCAATGTCACCATTCTGTCAACCACTAAAAGGGAGCCCGGCGATTAAATACACTAGCTAAAAGAACAATACTCCCCCTTCTGCAACTACCATAAAGGAATATTTAAAAAGGGAAAATCTTCAGTTGCCTTTTTTTTTTTAAAAGATTGGAGAGAAAATGATGGAATAACTCTCTGTTCACTATTATATTTCTCCCTTTCCTGGAAATGTGTATTAATTCTAACTCAGCTGTCTGACACCTTTAGAAATGCCAAAATTTCACACTCGGGTTGTTACATAATTGAGAATTTGAAAGGAACTTTGAATAGGTTTCCATTGACCTGAAAAGCAGCTAAATCTTTCAGAGTCTGAAGAAATATGATAGTCTATTTAGAACAGCAGAAAGACTGTGGCATCTTTTCCAGTCACATTTGTATACATGAAAAATGGAATAAAGGAGAATGAAAATTAAAAGAAAAAGTAAAAGAATAAAAATAACTTTCATTGATGGACTACTAAATGCCAGGCAGTGTACTCACAGTTTTCTAAAGACTCCTTAACATATATTTGTCATTTTTTATTTGAATAATTATCCTGCAAGGAAGATATAATAAATAATCTCAATTTTATATAAGAACATTGAGCCCTGGAGAACTAAGGTGATTTGCTTAATTCTAGCACAAAGGTTTGGTAAGTCTGGCTCTAAAAATATATGCTCTTGTCATTGTTTATCTTCTCTTTCAGAATAAAATTCAGCCTTAAGCTATTTTTTTACATTAGACAAAATAATGATAAATCTCCTTTATCTTAACTTGAGGCAAATACAGCTATAAGCTGGACAATTTCAGAGTTATCCTCCAAAGTCACTCAGGCACTCATGATCAGAGGAGACTGTGCTGCTAGGATGTGTTGAACATGAACTCAATAAAACCAGCAAAATGCATGTTTAATATTGAAATGTGAGGACCATGAAGGCAAACTCTGATTAAATTTGTTCATTTCTGCTCAGCATCATGCATCCTTTTGATCTGTGTAATCTTCCTTTCCTTTCCCCTGCAGAGGTGAAGGAGGAAAGAAGAGGAAAGAAAGGAAAAGAATGCATGACACTAAGAAATCTTAAGGTTGAAAGAAGTCATCTAGTGTGATAATACACCAAAGCCATTCCTTTAAAGGAAAATATTTTCTACTTCTCACAACTTTAGATGGGGGTGTGCCTGGTGGCTCAGTGGGTTAGAGCTTCTGCCTTTGGCTCAGGTCGTGATCTCAGAGTCCTGGGATGGAGCCTCACATCGGACTCTCTGCTCAGTGGGGAGCCTGTGTTCCCCTTTCTCTCTGCCTGCCTCTCTGCCTACTTGTGATCTCTGTCTGTCAAATAAATAAAATTAAAAACAAAAAAACAAACAAAAAAAAACCCCAAAACTTTAGATGGAATTCTCTCCCTTTCCATTACACCGTTCAACAGACTTCCAGATCATGAAATTATATCTCCTATTTTATGTAAGCCAATTTCCTAATGATCAGCTGGCCAATTGTTCTCTAGATAATAACTAGAACAGGCGCCTGGGTGGCTCAGTGGGTTAAGCCTCTGCCTTCAGCTCAGGTCATGGTCTCAGGGTCCTGGGATGGAGGCCCGCATTGGGCTCTCTGCTCAGCAGGGAGCTTGCTTCCTCCTCTCTCTCTCTGCCTGCCTCTCTGCCTACTTGTGATCTCTCTCTCTCTCTCTGTGTCAAATAAATAAATAAAATCGTTAAAAAAATAGATAACTAGAGCTGCACTAATAACTAGAGCTATGGTTAAAAAGACCATTCTTGGCTTTTAACTCTACTCCCTTCAATCATTTCTCAAAGTTAGGATTTTCCATTTCTTAACTCACTATTCAAAAGCACTTGATAATTAAAAATTACTAATTACTGGTCATTAAAGAATCAAGGCAAATATAAACAATAATTTTGAGTCTAAGTGACCATTTATTGAATCCATTTAAACTTTTACATTTTCTAAATAGATCCATTTATAAATGTTTTAGCAGCTTGGAGATGGAGGGGGGCAATTATTCTTGCAAAGGCTAATGTGGAGCAAAATGTCCAGTCGTGAGTATGAAAAGAACATCCTGAACTTTCCAACTCGGGGCACAGCTGTACCAGCAGACTTATTAATTCTGGAATTTCCTCACTCTGCTGCTTATGCAAGATAAAACTTGCATGACATCATTGCAGTTTCTCAGCCTCAACTGCTTTTTATTAAGCTTAGGAAAGTATTGCTTTGAATGCTGCTTTTCTTATGAAAAATACTTTTGACCTCCACATGCTCTATTCTGTAGGAAGAAGGACAGTTCGCTTTCTATGAAAGGTGGAAGAATGCCAGCTTTTGCCCAAAGAACAAGCAAGGGGAATCTACTGATCAAAGCACTTCACCAACGTATCAAAGAGTCTTTGGGAAATTATAATACTTTAAAAAGTTAGACTTTCCAGAACTAAGGAAAAAAAATAAGTAAAATTGTGTAAAGATTTTCAGGGCTGAAGCTGAAGCTGGAGTGTTTATTAGATAAAGAACAGGGTGTGTCTCTATTTGAATTCCTTAGATAGAAGGGCTGAATTTTAACTCAGGACAGAAATTTTTTCCTGCTTTCTCAATAAATGTGAGATCAACAGGAAGATTTGGTATGTATGGGCAGACATAGGCGAAATCAGAATTTTAAGAGGTTATAGTTCAGAACTAAAAAGAATGTGCTTATTTTTCTGTACTGTGTTACATTTTGAAACACATTTCAGTAAGAGCTGAAGGGGATGGAGATGTGTCAGGAAATAGGACAGGAAAAAGTCGGAAGGAAAAAAGATAAATTCAATGTCATACCCTATTTTAAAACCGCTGATTGAAGAACTAGTATAGAAGCTGCAGGACTAGCAAAATCAATATAAATGAAAGGGGCAAAAAAGGAATGCCAGAATGAAGCAGGCTGAAAAGAAATACAGGCTAGCCTGGACAGGAATTAATTGTGTTATTTCGTGCTTTCTGCAGGTTTTTCTTCATACCTTTTGAAGTAGTTCAGATTCTACCTGTGCACAATTGTCTAATGTGAATTGTCCTCAAACAGATCCTCTCAGCACATCTTCTGTATCATTACTTACTTATAGATAACGTAAAAGCTGTTGTTTGGAAGGTGCCAGCTGGCTGCTGGTCTACTACAAATCAGCCATGTAATCTCAAGCAATTCACTTCACTCTGTCAGTCTTCTCCAATTCTTTATGTGGCTCAAGTGCTACCTCTGCCTGAGACCTTCCCTGACCACCCTTATTTCAGAACATATATTTCTAACACATTATTGTGGTTTTTTTTTTAAGATTTTATTTATTTATTTGAGAGAGAGAGTGCATGCACAAGTGGGGGTAAGGGGGACAATCCCAAGCAGGCTCCACACCCAGCTTGGAGTCCAAGGCAAGGCTTGATCTCACAACCCTGAGAGCATGACCCCAGCTGAAATCAAAAGTCAGACACTTAACCAACTGAACCATCCAGGTACCCCATTATTGTG